ATCTTGAACCTGGGGAGGCAGAGGTTGGCGAGTAAGCCGAATCGCACCACTGCATTCCAGGCCTGGGCAGACTGTGTCTCAAAAAAAATAAAGTCCTGGCTCGGTGACAGTGGCCTCACGCCTGTAAGTCCCAGACTTGTGCAGGCTGAGGCATGGTGGATCAGCTAGGTCGGCGAGTCAAGATAATGCCTGCGCCCAATCATGGTGGCAACACCCCGTCTCGTCTATAAAGATACAAAAATTAGCTGGGTCGTGTCTGTGCCACCTGTTATCCAGTCTACTGCAGAGGCTAGGCGAGGAATTGCTTGTACCCAGGAGGCGAGGTTGGACAGTGAGCGATGAGATCTGCCACTGCACTCAGCCTGGAGCAACAGGTAAGACTCTGTCTCAAAAAAACAAAGAAAAAGAAAAAAAAAAAGGCCACAAACCCCCCAGCTTTGCTTGCGGAGAGTTGAGCCTTCCAGAAAGGAATGCAGAGAAAACAAGACCCTATGAGAATAAGAAGGATTGAGAATGTATATGAGTGTCAGGGGCGCACGGTGTGGTCACGGCCTGTGACCCAGGCACTTTTTGGGAGGCCAGGGCAGGCAGGATGCCTTGAGGGCCAAGGGTTTGAGACTTCTCGCATAACATAGGGGAGACCTTGGGTGGCTCTCTTTTTTTTTTTTTTGGAGACGGCGCTCTCGCTTGTCGTCCAGGCTGGAGGTGCAGGTGGCGCCATCTCGGCTTCACTGCAGCTCCGCCTCACGGTTCGCGCCATTTCTCGCTGCGTCAGCCCTTCCGCCGCGAGGTAGCTGACTACAGGCACCCGCCATGACCACGAGGTAATTTTTTGTACTTTTTTTTTGTGTTTTCTTTTTTTTTTTTTGAGACGGCGTTGGGGGGGGGTGGGTGGGTGGGTGTGGTGGGGTGGCAGTCTCGTCTGTCCGCCCAGGTGGAGCACAGCCGACTGAAGCTCCCTCCCCGGCGGTTCAGCCATGTCTGCCGTCAGCCTCCACGAGTGTGGAACGATACCCCCGCCACCTCGCCTGGCTATTGTGTAGTTGTGAGACGGTTTCACGTGCCTTAGCAGATGGTCTATCTTCTGACTTCGTGAGTCCACGCCGCCACCGTCGTCCTCCCAAGGCTGGGATTACAGGCCTGAGTCACCGTGCCTGGCCTTGGACGGATGGCTTAAAAAAAAAACAAAAAAAAAAAAAAAAAAGCTATTTATTTTGACCAGGGAAATGCAAATCAAAACCACAATGAGATCATGCCGTTCACACCCACTAGGCTGGCAATAAAAAAAACAAACAAAGAAACTGGAAAATGATGAGTTGGATGTGAAGTTAGAACGGTCCTGTGTGGCTGCTGAGCAGGTAGAACAGTGCAGTCACTTTGGAAAAGAGACTAGTGGCTCTTCAAAAAGTTAAGCATAGAGACAGGGTGCGGTGGTTCACACCTGTAATCCCAGCACTTCGGGAGGCCAAGGCGGGTGGATCACTTGAGCCCAGGAGTTCGAGACCAGTCTGGGCAACATGGTGAAACCCCGTCTCTACTAAAACCACACAAAAAAATTAGCCAGGTGCGATGGCGGGCGCCTGCAGTCCCAGCTACTCGAGAGGCTGAGGCAGGAGAATGGTGTGAACCCGGGAGGCGGCGCTTGCAGTGAGCCGAGATGGCGCCACTGCACACCAGCCTGGGCAACAGAGCGAGACTCTGTCTCAAAAATAAAATAAAATAAAATAAAAAATAAAAAATAATTAACCGGGTGTGGTGGTGCACGCCTGTAGTCCCAGCTGCAGGCGCTGTCTCCCTGGCATGGCAGTGGCCAGGGCTGAGTGAGTAGGAGCAATGCCCTGCCCCGCTGCAATGGCAGGGAAGGGTGGAGGACTCCCGGCTGTGACCTCACTCCCGCAGGCCTGCTGATTGGCCCACCCCCGGTCTCCAGCCACCTGCTGCCGTCCATCACAGGGCCACCCTCCCCATCCTCCATCCTGTCCACAAGGCTCAGCAAAGCGGCTGGCGGGTAAGTGAGGCTCGGGGGTAAGGAAGTGAGGCTGGGGGAGTCCCGAGCAGAGGTGTGGGCTCCCGGGATGCGGAAGGGTGTTGCGGAGGACCGTAAGGGTCCCCAGTTCCTACAGCTGCCCCCCACGCACACACAGGGGCCGCACACCAGCCTCCCATGCTTGTTGGGCCCCTCCCCCACGGCCACGCCATAGGCCCCTTCCAGGTCTTGGAGCCCCAGGGCTGGGTGGTTTTTCAGCCTAGATATAGGGACACCCTAATCCCAGCAGCCAGAGGCCATGGAGACCCTGAAGAGTACAGCTCCAGGTCTGACTTGAAGTTCCTTGCGCCCTCCAGCCAATGGCGCTGTCTCTAGCCTCAGTTTCCTCATCTGTCATATGGGAACAGAGTTAGTGGGACAAGGCAGGGTACTCTGTGTCAGGATCAGGAGACCGCCCCCGGGACCCTCCTCCCCTGCCCCGGCCTGTCACAACCAGAGCCAGGATGGTTCTGCTGCTGGGGCCCGAGCCTGTAGACTCACAGGGTCATGCGGCGGGATGTAAGTGCCCAGAATGGCAGGTCAGGGTGGCCCAGAGGGAGACCCCATGATAGCAGAGGCTTGGGAGGGGCTGAGGCACCTGTTAGCCTGTCCCGCTGGCCTCGGGCACCAGATAAAAATAGTCCCTGGTCTCAGAGAACATGAGCTGACACTGGGGCCAAGAGTTTTGGTTTGGGGTGTGTCTGGGACTTATTGCTGTGTTGCCCTGCAGGGGCTCCCGCCCTCTCTGGGCCAAAGCAGCCTTGGCTGCTGTGCTGATGGATATTGGGCCCCAGCGAGGCTGGGCTACAGGGAGGGGCCCCAGGGCTGGCATGCAGGGTCAGGGAGGTGCCTGGTGTGGGCGCTGGGCCATGCCTGGCATGAGTGTGAATTTCCCGAGTGAGGGGTGCTTGAGGCAGAGATCACAGCCTCGGTTGGGGGTGGCAGGACGGGGCCTGTTAGTTGGTGTCCACAGAACCTCCAGGTCAGGCCCAGGCCCATGAGGGACTCAGTAAATGCAAGACCTTGTTCCCCACCCCTCCCAGCCTGGCCCGGGACCTGCTGCTGCTCCAGTCATCTCCATGGCAACCAGCGCCTGGGAGGAGCTAGATGGCGGCCTGGGCAGCTGCCAGGCCCTGGAGGACCACTCTGCGCTGGCCGAGCCCCAGGAGGACAGGGCTCCAGGTACCCTTGTGGTGCTGGCGGGAGGAAGCCCCTCCCTGATGGTCCCCTTGAGCCAGGAGGCCCATCTTCAGAGCTTCTTAGCCTCCCACACTGGACTGTTTTAAACTGTGCTCCCCAGGTTCAACCCCTGGCCCTCATTTCTGCCTCAGGGGTCTGTAAGGAGCCCCCAAGGAAGACAGGTGCTGGGCTACACAGATCTAGGTTCCAATCCTGCGTTGCCACTGAAATGCTTTGTGTCTTCCGGCAAAGCTGTCTCCAAGCCTGTCTGCTTTCTTTGTATTTTTATATTTTTTTATTATTGTTATTTTTTATTTTTTGAGGCCGAGCCTCATTCTGTCTTCCATGCTGGAGTACAGTGACATGATCATAGGTCACTGCAGCCTCGACCTCTCAGGTTCAAGTGATCCTCGTGCCTCAGCCTCCCAAGTAGCTGGGGCCACAGGTGCCGGCCACCATACCTGGCTAATTTTTTTTTTTTTTTTTGGGTAGAGATAGGGTCTCACTGTATTGCCCCAGCTGGTCTCAAACTCCTGGGCTCAGGTGATCCTCCCACCTCAGCCTCCCCCAAGTGCTGGGATTCCAGGTGTGAACCACTGTGCTGGCCTCCGCCTACTTTCTTATCTACAAGATGGGGTTAGTCACCCGCGCGTCACCCAGCAGGGCCAGGGGAGACGGTGGGATTGGCCTGGGGGGTCCCCACAACCTTGACTCTCCCTCTGTTCTCACAGCAACACCCAGGCTGGCCGACTCTGGCAGCCCGCCCCACGTGAGTAGCTGGGACCCTCAGCCTTTAACCCAGGACGCCTGGGGAGTTGGGGACAAGCCGACCAAGGGAGGCAGGTGTCTAAAGCCCACGGGAAGGGTTTGGCACTGGAAGGAAACATGTGGAATGTCTCATGATAACCACAGGACTCTCAGGAGCCGGTGGCTGAAGGCTGCAGTGTGGACACCAGGCCCAAGAAGATGGAAAAAGAGGCTGCCGCCAGGGGGACCCCAGGAACGGGGAAGGAGAGGCTGAAAGCTGGAGCGAGTGGGTTTGCAGGAGGCATGGGTGAGGTGTGGGGTGGGAACGGACTGGTGTGAGGCTCAGGTCCCGGAGCTGGGTCCTTGGATCTTGGGGGGTGTCCTGGTTGAGTGGCATCGAAGTGTGGCAGGCAGCGAGTCAAGGGGCCGGGAGCCTCTACTAATGCGTGATAATACCGGCTAAGCCACTCAGCTTCCGGAAGTTAACTTCCAGAAACTCTGGGCATCCCCGTGCAGCTGCGGGGCACCGGGGCTGGGTTCACCTGCGCCCAGGGCCGCACAGGCAGGCAGGGTGAGCCGGGTTCAGGGCGCAGGCCTCTCTCTTGCCCCCTGTGCCCGGGGAATGGGGCGGCGCAGAGCCAGTGGCCACAGCGCAGCACGCACTTGCCCCCGCAGGCCCTCGGAGCGCCCCCGCGCGCAAGAAGGCGCAGACCGCGCCGCCCCCGCAGCCGCCGCCGCAACCCCCGGCCCTGAGCCAGGAGCTGCCCTGGGGAGACCTGTCGCTCAACAAGTGTCTGGTGCTCGCGTCGCTGGTGGCGCTGCTGGGCTCGGCTTTCCAGCTGTGCCGCGGTGAGCGCGGGCTCCCCAGAGGTGGGGCGAGGCTGGGGTCCACCTGTGCGCCTATTCCTCCAAGGAAGGGCCCTGTGACGCAAGGGTGGGGTCTGGGAGCCTCCTTCCCAGGGCTAGGTTTTGCACGCCGACGGGCCTTGCGCGCCCCTCTCACCCCGTCTGGACCTTTTGCGGGGCCCATTTCCCTCGCCGCGAGTAGGTTCTGGCTTCCGGATGGACCTCGTGCAACCCCTCCTCCCGCGCAGCGTTCTGCCGCCTTCCTCCTGCGCCCTCTCTGGGGACAGCTCAGCTAGTGAGCGCCCCCCGGGGGCACTCCTGCGACCCGTCCCTTGCTAGGGGTCTCCTACAGCCCGTGGTCGGGGGGAAGAATGACGGATTGAAAGAGTGAGGTTCGCAGGAGGGGCGCTCCGCAGCAGCGGAGTCCCGGAGTCCCTTCCCACGGCTCCGGGCATCCTTAGCCTCAGCCGTGCCGCGGGAGCCCCACTCCAACTGTCCGGGGAGGGGGGCTCTAGCGGTGAGGGACGGATGGACAGTGTGGTCCATGCCTCGACCCAGCTGACTTGGGTCCCGACCCTGTCGCTGCAGACGCCGTGGCTGGGGAGGCAGCAGTCCAAGCGCGTGCGCCCGAGCCCTGGGTCCCGCCAAGCTCAGCCCCGAGGGAGCCATCGTCGCCCCTGGTAAGCGCTTCCTTCCAGTGACCGTGGGCAGTGGGGCCTTCATCCCCAGGGAAAGAAGGAGCCCCGGCCGGGGGCAAGGTGGGCGCTTACCCCAGGACCCCACTCTCTGTCTTGCAGCTTAAGTTCGAGGCCCAGGCGCCCCCATCAGCGCTGCCTGCGCCCCGGACCGAGGCAGAGATCAGACCCAAGATTCCCGGGAGTCGGGAGGCTGCAGAGAAGGACGAAGAGGAGCCTGGCGAGGCCACCGGAGAGGCCGTCGGGGAGGACCGTGTGCCCCTCGCAGACCGGGGACCCAAGGAGAGGCCTCGGAGAGAGGGGAAACCGCGGAAGGAGAAGCCGCGGAAGGAGGAGAGGCCGAAGAAAGAGAGGCCGCGGAAGGAGGAGAGGCCACGGGCCGCCAGGGAGCCCCGGGAAGCCCTGCCTCGGCGCTGGGAGTCACGCGAAGGGGGCCATCGGCCGTGGGCACGGGACTCCAGGGACGCCGAGCCCAGGAAGAGGCAGGCCTGGGTCTCCCCGAGGCGTCCCGACGAGGAGGAGCGGCCTGGGAGTCGCCAGAAGCTCCGCGCAGGCAAGGGGCGGGACTAAGCCGGCCCGCGCCCGAGTCCAGGGACCCCTTCTCCACAACCCGCGACTCTGGCGAAATAAAGCGAGGGCTGCGGCCGCAGAGTCATCTGCTTCTTTACGCCTGGACCCGGCAACGAGTCCGGGGCCTGAAAGACCGTCGCGGGGCGCTTCAGGCAGGGGAAAGACAGCGAGCGCTACAGGGTGGACCCAGGCCGTGCGCAAGGAGAGACGGGCGGCCCCTCTAACACGCACGGACACCCCACTCCGTTGCTTGCTGGTCTTTATTGGGGCGATACTTGGCGTCCGAATAAATATGGGAAGGGGCGCGAGCTGGGGCACGTCCGGCCCCTCGGGGCAGGAGTCCGAGAGGCGCAGGGGTCACCGGCAGCCACACTCGGTGGCCACCATGTTGGGCACGTGGTGCGCGCTGATGCGCTCCTCCGACAGGCTGATGAGCAGCTTGCCCGCGTAGGCGGTGGGCACGCAGCAGGGGGGGCGCGCCAGGGCGGCCCCACGGGCCTGCATCTTCAGCAGCAGCACCACGTGGTTGCCGTAGCGCGGGTTGCGGTCGGACTGCGGCCAGCCGCACACGCCCTGGCAATTGTTGGCCTGGTAGGTCTCCGGGATGAGTACGGAGCGCTCGGCGCGGAGGTCTACGCTGAGCTCGCGCAGCGCGCACGGCCCGTCGGCGGCCGTGGGCCCTGCGCTGCGCTGTGCCCGCCCCGGCCCGCGTGGATCCCGCCCGCGCCACTCCGCGCGCAGGCCCTGCAGCGCTTTCAGAAGCAGCAGAGCTCGCAGGGGATCGCCGGGGCCGCCGGGGCCGCCGGGGCCGCCTGGGCAGAGCGCGAGCAGGCGTGCCAGCAGCGGGGCTGCGGCTGGAGGCAGACCCGGGAGGCTGCTCAGCTCGGCAGCCGCCGCTTGCAGCTCGGCAGCCACGCGGTGCGCCAGGGCAGTCGCCCACGGCGCCGACGTGGGGTCGTGCAGGGGCGCGGGGTCCCCGGTGGTGGCCGCGGTGGGCCGCAGCAGCAACAGCGGCTCCTCGCCGTCTAGCAGGCGCTCCAGCGCCGCGGGGTCCGACAGGTTGACCAGGCCCTGCGGGAAGCCGGCCAGCGCGTCCGGGTCCAGGGCCAGGCGGGGCGCGGAGGCCTGGGCCGGGGGGCCCCGCAACGCCCGCACCAGGCGCGTGAGCGTCTCCAGGAAGGGGTCTGCACTGGGTGGCGACTCCTCGAGCTCCGCGGATGGCCTGGAACCCGCAGTTAGGGGAGTTGAGAGCGGGCGCGAGGCCACGCCGCCCCCGCCTGCTCCTGCCCCATGCCCCCGGGCCTGCACGCACCTGGGCGGCGGGAAGGGCACGGTGTCCAGCTGGCCTTGCGCGGGCAGCGGCGCGGGCTCAGACCGCGGCAGCAGGAGCAGGGCCGGGGTCATCCGCGTGAAGCAGCGGTGGTCGTCGCCGAACAGCAGTGCCTGCAGCTGGGCCGTACTCAGGAGGGAGCCTGCGGTGGGTGGGCGCGGGGTTGGCTCAGGGGCTAGGGGCTGAGGGCAGTCGACCCGGCGCCCGGTCCCTCTCCACGCACACCTACCCTCTCTGCGGGGCTGCAGGGTTAAGGCCAGCCCGGAGCCGCGCCAGGCCCCCGCAGGGCGGTCCACCGCCAACGCCAGGTAGCGAGTGTCCCGGGACGGGCAGAGGCTCTGTGGAGACCAGGGCTCAGCCCGGCTGGAGGCTTACCCAGCCCTGCTCTACCGGTGCCCTTCCTCCCATTGCCGCTGGTTCTACGCTTCTCTCAGTACCGCAGACCCTGCAACAAATCCATGCCCCTGCCGCGGCCCAGGCAATGCCCCATGCAACTCCCTGGTACCTGGGCACCCGGCAGCCCAGCCCTCGTCACAGTGACCTCAGGGCCAGGCCCAGGCCCAGGGTACAGCACCAGCAGCGCCAGCTCCGGGGGGTCGGCTACTCCATGCGGGGGCTCCTGGAACCTCAGCGAAGGTGTGGGCTCCCAGGTCACTGCAGCCAGGACAGCAGGGGACGCCTGAGCCATTCAAGGCCAGGCCCGTCCCACACTCCCCTGGGAGTCTTTGGGATCCGTCCCTGCTGCTCTGGCCACTGTGCAGGGGGCCTCGAGCGGGGGACGAAGTGTCCCTCTTCACTGCCTTCCTGCAGCCAGGGAGCGGTGACCGCCCAGGCAGGCAGAGGCTGCGTCTGAGGCTGTGGGTGGGGCTGCCGCCCTGGGGTCTCTGGGTTAGGGTGCCCGATGAAGCCCCTTCCCCGCAGGGAGTCTCTCAGGCCAGTGGCCCCGAGAACAGGCTGGCCAGGTGTGGGGCGGTGGGGAGGAGGGTTCCACTGGCCCCGAGCCACAGGGTGGTTTCTTCACGGGTGGCGAGAAGACAGCAGCTGTCTCCCTGCCGCTGCGGCAGGGGCTGGTCTAAGAGCTGGGCTTCAGGGACAGGACAGAGCGCGGTGCCCACCTTCCAGGCCATGGACCCGCAACCCAGTCCCAGAACAAGACCACAGCCTCCCTGCCCAGGGTGTGGGCTCTGCCAGCCCCTGATCTTCCCTAGGAGGACCTGGCCCACCTGAAGGAGGCCGGCGGTGCCAAGCTCGGGGCTGGGCCCCACATACCTTCCTCCAGGTGCAGGACCACCAGGCGCTGCCCCCCAGGGTCCCGCAGCCAGGCCCCCAGCCGCTGTAGAGAGGGCAAGGCAGCCTGCCTGTCACCGGGGGTGCACACCCCAAAGGTGGCCAGGTCTCGGGGACCCCAGCGGGCCCGCTGCACGGCCCCCAGGAAGGCCCGCTCATAGGCGCTCAGAACCCCCATGACCTGCAGAGGGGTGCCGCTGCCATTGCTGTCCCCACCCAGTGCCACCAGGCACAGAGGCTCTTGTGGGCTGCCTGGCGGCCAGTCCAGGTCTTCTCGGAAGATGAGGCCACCGGTGCCCACAGCTGGTTCTTCTGCTCTGAGGGCCTCAGTCCCCAGCAGAGCCCCCAGGGCGGACAGCACCAGGGTCAGGCTGGTGAGAGGCAGGTCCCGCGTCATGGGTGCTGCCAGGGGCTGGGCTGCCCGCCTTGTGGAAGCCGAGTGGAAGGTGGGGTGTTTGTAAAGGACAGGCCCCTATCTCCTCTGCCGCGACCTTGGGGGACAGTGCCCGGCGCCCCCACTCCAGGCAGAGTGGCCTTCTCAAAGAGCCCTTTCTGTCGCCAGCAGCCTATCTCCCTCCCCACAGCGATAGAGCTGGCCCTGATTTGTCAACATGCTGTCCTTGAGGGCCCGTCCCCAGAAGGCACAGGAGTGGGAACCAGGCTGGGAGTGATGGCCAAGCAGCCAGACTAGACAGCGCTGGGGGCGGGGGGCCCAGATGTCCTGGGTGCTAAGGGGTGGGCCTGGAGGAGGAGGGTCCCAAGTCAGTGGGGGCGCCCTGTCCCTGCTCACCCTCCCAACCCCTGGTGGGCTATCTGGAGACCCCAAGGATATCACAAGAGTCTGCTCTTCCCTCCCCAGGACAGGACCCCAGACCCCCTCCTAGCTGGCTGGTGGAGTCTGTCCTCCACCAGGCCACCTCCAAGGTACAGCTGTCTCTCAGGCCCCCCACAGGTGTCTCCTGGCAGGCCCCAGGCCCTCCCCAGTCGGCGCAAACTCAGGGATGGTGCTGTGCCTGGCACTCCCACACAGCACTGACAAGGGAGGGTGGCGCTGCAGACATCAGTGCACTCGGGGCTGGGGAAGGCTGTTTAATGAGCAGGGGGCAGTACAAAAGAGCAGCCTTCTCTCGATGGCAAAAGGCAGGAGCACCTGGCGCTGAGCTTGCTGGGGGAGGGAGCAGCTTCTCAGTTGGTTGGGGGAGGGGGAGGTATGTTCCCTGGGCCTTCGGAGGGGAGTGGGGGCCTCAGCATTGGGGGCATGGGAGTTGGGGGGTGTACCCCAGGATTTGAGGGGTGAACTCCAGGAGGCTGAGGGTGGACCCCAGGAGCTGATGGATGGACCCCGGGAGGTTGGGGGTGGACTCCTGGGGCCTGAGGGTGCATCCCTGGGGCTGGTGGGTGCACCCCCGGGGCCTGAGGGTGAACAGCAGGGGCTGCTGGGTGTACCCCTGGGGCCTGGGGGTGAACCCCCGGTGATGGGGGAGGATGGACCCCCGGGGCTGGTGGGTGAACCCCAGGGGCTGGTGGGTGGACTCCAGGGGCTGGTGGGTGAACCCCGGGGGCTGGAGGGTGAACCCCGGGGGCTGGAGGGTGGACTCCGGGAGCCGGGGGGTGGACCCCAGAGGTTGGTGGGTGGACCCCAGGGGCTGGGGGATGGACGCCAGGGGCTGGGGGATGGACCCCAGGGGCTGGGGGATGGACGCCAGATGTGGGGGGATGCACCACTGGGGCCGGGGGGTGGACCCCTGGAGCTGGCGGGGGTAGCTGGGGTGGTCCCGGGGGCCCTGAGGGCGCAGGCCCCGTGGGGGGCATGGGTGGCAGAGGTAGGCCTCCTGGCGGTGGTGGTGGCAAAGACTCAGGCAGCGGTGGCCGAGGGGGCAGACCATTCATCAGCGGGGGTGGAGGCCGCTTCACCCCAGGGGGGCCGGCGGGGAGGCTGGGTGGAGCCGGGGGCTTCTCCATCTTAAAGTGGAACTGGAGGAAGAACTAGAGAGACGGAGAAAGGTTCAGCAGGCACGGGCGGGGCTAGGGCCACCAGGGCTGGGCAGGAAGGAGCCAAGCTCAGCACTAGCCACTCACCTGCTTGGTCTCCCGGTTCCAGTGTGTCCAGAACTTGCCCTCCGCCTTGTCAATCTCTCTGCTCGGCACCTGGGAGGGCGGGGGACACAGAGGGCTCCTGGTCCCTGTGACCTCAGGGTAGCCATCAGGCGGGGAGCCTGAGGCGTTAGCCTCCCCGGCCCGGACTCCACCCTGGGAGCCCAAGAGAAGGCCCCGGCCTGGTAAGACGTTCGATGGGCACAGGGTTCAGTTCTGGAGTGACACAGACCCGGCCTCAACGCTAGCACATGCTGGCCCCCGCCCTGGACAGGCGCCGTTTGTATCGTTCCCTGATGGCTGCTTTGTCCAGCCGTGGGCACAGGCTGTGGGAAGCCCTCCAGCAGCCTGGACCAAGAAGTGAGGTCACTTGGCGAAGGCCTCCCAGGCCCAGCGCTCAGCCCTGCCGGCCTTCCTTCTCCATGGGCACAGTGGAGCCAAGCAGGACCCCTCCTGCAAAACCCAATGGGAGGGGTGCCCTGCCCGGCCTGCACAGACCCTTCTGGCTCCGTCTCGGGGATCCCAGGGGACCCCACAGCCTGATAGGAGGGGCGCCCTGCCTAGCCTGTGCAGATCCTTCTGGCTCGCACATCTCAGGGGGCCCGGGGGCCCAGGGGACCCCACAGCCATGCTACCTTGAAGGCGATGGTCTCATAGGGCTCAGCGGCCATGAGCAGGTACTGCCAGCGCCGGTCCGGAGGCTCAATCCTCTGCTCGTACGCAGACATGAAGCGGTGGCGTGGCATGATGCCCTCGGCGATCTCAGGGTAGTCGATCTGTGGGGACACAGCCGGGTGGCAGCGCCACCTTTCAGGTGCCTTCGGCCGCCCCCCACACCCAAGCCCCTGATCTCACCTGGAAGAGGAGGCTCTGCTGGCCCATCTCCGAGTCCCTCTGCTTGGTCACTGCAACACAGAAAGCTCTCAGGTCCCGGCTGCTTGTCCTCCCCAAAGCTGAGGGACCTGGGGCAGGCTAATGCCACCCACTGAACGAGGGCGAGACCCCAGGGGAGGCCCTGTGGCTCCAGGCAACCGCCAATCTCCGCCCAGGCTCTGGGACTCTGGTATAGGTGAAGGCACAGGTGCGCCAGGGCTGAGCTACCTGCAGAGTCACTCGGGCAGGGACCGAGGGTGGTACTCCTTTGTCCTAATCCCCAGAGCCCTTCACCCAGGGTGCTGGGACACTATCCAGCAGGAGTCAGGGCCACTGGGTAGGGAGCGGCCCTTGGCACCCTGGCTCTAGGATTAGAGTGGGGCCGCCTGAACAGGGCCAACACCATCTATAGGGTGAGCGGGAGAGGATGCCTTTCCCACCAGAGCTCAGCAGCCTGGACCCCGAGAATGGTTGCTGGGCCGCCTACGGCCTGGCCACTCTCCAAGCAGCCTCAGGCACGCACACTCACAAGCCCTCCACCTCCTCACTGCCCTGAGCCCAAGCTCAGGACCTGTCAGGGCCTCCCCACCAGGAGTCTGCCGCTCTAGCCACCCTCGTCCACCCAGTGCACCTGCCCCGGGGCCTGTGCCCTGCAGGCTCCTGTCTGGAGGCCACGCACACAGGCTGTCCCCATCTTCCGTAAAGAACATTTGCTGGGGCCGGGCGCGGTGGCTCATGCCTGTAATCCCAACACTGTGGGAGGCTGAGATAGGTGGATCACGAGGTCAGGAGATCGAGACCATCCTGACTAACATGGTGAAACGCCGGCTCTACTAAAAATACAAAAATTAACTGGGCGCGGTGGCGGCGCCTGTAGTCCCAGCTACACGGGAGGCTGAGGCAGGAGAATGGTGTGAACCCGGGAGGCGGAGCTTGCAGTGAGTGGAGATCACGCCACTGCACTCCAGCCTGGGCAACAGAGCGAGACTGTGTCTCAAAAAAAAAAAAAAAAAAAAAAAGAACACTTGCTGGGTAGCGTGCCCGCCTTCCTGACCCTACAGACACAAGGTCTGTCTCTTCTACCCTGGCCGCTTCCCTGGCTTTCTGAACCAGGTCACCTCCTGCCATTCCCACTGCTGAGGGTCCCGGAGGAGCCGCCTCTAACAGCCGCTTCTTCCTGTCCTCCTTCAGAGGCTTCAAGGTTAACCGGAGGAATGTGCCAGGGCTCATCACACCTCCACTTCCACTCTTTTGCTTGGCAAGACTCCCCAGAAGCTTCCACAACACTCGGACAGGAGGGCACAGACTGTGGCTCAGCTGGGAAAGGGGCCGCTGGGTGAGACGGGTGCTTATCGGGCTCAGCCTGACAGCTCCCAGACACAACGCCAGAGGCTGCAGGTGGGTGAGGGATGGCCACCAAGGCCAGAAAACAGCGGCTCAGGAATGAGGGTCTCAGGGCTGCGCCTCCTGCACTGGAGCCCAAAGAACCTATTCATGCAGCAGCAGCGGCTGTGGCCAGCGCCGCTCCGGGCACTCACCTTTGTAGCCTGGGCGGCCGATCTTCACAAACTTCTTCACCTCCACCTTGACCTTCTCAGGTGCGGGCTGGGCAGGGGCCTCCTTGGCCTCCTTGGCGGCTCGCCGGGCCCTGCAGGCAGGATGGACGTGGTGCTGGGGCCCCTCCACACACAGGCACCAAGGCCACGGGCCCCTGGACCTTGGAGCTCACTACAAACTGAGGGATGAGGAGGGCCAGGGGCCTGGGAGGGGCCCTGGGGTTTGGCTGAGAACAGGGATAGGACAGGCACGTTCTCTTCCTGTCATGCTCCTCACTGTCCCTGGCTGGGGTCCTACCAACAACTCCATGCCTCTGCTTTTTTTTTTTTTTTTTTTGAGACCGAGTTTTGCTCTTGTGGCCCAGGCTGGAGTGCAGTGGTGCGATCTTGGCTCACCGCAACCTCCACCTCCCGGGTTCAAGCGATTCTCCTGCCTCAGCCTCCCCAGTAGCTGAGATTAAAGGTATGCACCACCATGCCCGACTAATTTTTTTGTATTTTTAGTAGAGATGGGGTTTCTCCATGTTGGTCAGGCTGGTCTTGCCCTCCTGACCTCAGGTGATCTGCCCGCCTTGGTCTCCCAAAGTGCTGGGATTATAGGCGTGAGCCACTGCGCTCGGCCTTTCTTCTTTTTTTTTTTTTTTTAAATAAGACTGAGTCTCGCTCTGTCGCCCAGGCTGGAGTGCAGTGGCACCATCTCGGTTCATTGCAACCTCTGCCTCCCAGATTCAAGATTCTCCTGCCTCAGCCTCCATAGTAGCTGTGATTACAGGTGTGCGTCACCATGCCCAGCCTAATTTTTATATTTTTAGTAAAGATGGAGTTTCTTTTTTTCTTTTTTTTTTTTTGAGACGGAGTCTCGCTCTGTCGCCCAGGCTGGAGTGCAGTGGCGTGATCTCCACTCACTGCAAGCTCCGCCTCCCGGGTTCACACCATTCTCCTGCCTCAGCCTCCCGAGTAGCTGGGACTACAGGCGCCCACCACCTCGCCCGGCTAGTTTTTTGTATTTTTTAGTAGAGACGGGGTTTCACCGTGTTAGCCAGGATGGTCTCGATCTCCTGACCTCGTGATCCGCCCGTCTTGGCCTCCCAAAGTGCTGGGATTACAGGCTTGAGCCACCACGCCCGGCACAAGATGGAGTTTCACAATGTTGGTCAGGCTGGTCTCGAACTCCTGACCTCAAGTGATCTGCCCGCCTCAGCCATCCACGCCTCTGTTCTCTAATGCTCCCCAGAAACCGTACTCCAACGCCCAGGGAGGCCCAGGCCAGGCTGGCTTCCCGGCTGTGGAGCAGTGGCCTGTGAGGCTCACAGAGACTTGAGCCGACAGCTGCTGGAGCACCAGGCATCAAAGGGGCACGGGGTACTCACAGGTTGGTCTGGTGCTTCTTCCCCTGGGTATGTGCCAGGTAGCTCCCCTGGAGTGGA